CGAGTGCCCTTTAGTCGAACACGGTTTTGTGGTGGAACCGTTCTCGACTCTAGGGGGCGGTGCTCATCTCCGTTTCAAAGCGGAAGAGCGAGCGTTGTCCGAAGGCGTCTCCGTGGACATGTGGCCGGCATCACTAAATGTCAAAGGCACACAAAACGCTGTTCCCTTCCCACCAAAGGTGGTTCCTATTTTTCTACTTGCATTTTTTTACGTGCTTTCGAACTGCTAGGTTGGCAGAAGCTGGGGCAAGTCACGGGAGCTCACTCCGTTACGCGGCGCCAGGGATTCGAACCGCTGAACTGCCGACCTTTCTGATCGACAAGCTCAGCGTCTTAGCCACTGATCCACCCTGGGGTTTATATAAGAGCATCTTAAACCATCGTTTGCTAATTTGACACTGTTAGGCAGTACTCCCCAGGGACCTGGCAACTTTAGGACGTTTGGACTTCAACTCCCAGAATTCTCCAGCCAGCAAAGATGTTTGGACTTCAACTCCCAGAATTCTGTGTGCTGGGTGGAGAATTCTGGGAATTGAAGTCCACATGTCTTAAAGCGCCCTACAGTTTTAAGGCGCTATTTAGCAATATGGAATATGAGTTGCTGGGGACGGGGACGGGGACGGGGGGCTTGGATTGTGGACCCTTCCCTGCAAGCTAACGAAGCCTGGTGGTGGTGTTTGCTTCTCTCCTCTCTCTGTCGCCATGCGCAACCGTGTTTTCAGCAGCATGTTTTATTTGTAGAAGAGGATGTGGTTAAAGTGGCCGGATCTAAGTGTCTTCCTTTAACAGAAGAGGGAGGGGGGGGCTGGGTGGAAAAGGGGAGGAGAAAAGCGGGAACTGGACATGGCTTCAGGGGGGGAGGGGGCCGTAGGTGCAAATTGGGGCCACAGTGCAGCAAAATGCCAGGCTCACTGATGTGCCACAGATGGGGTTTGAGAGGGAGAAATGGATGATGTTACCTACTTTGGTCAAGAGTACCACGAGAGCACCAAGGACACTACAGTCGTCACCAGCCTCCTCCTCCTCCTACACTCCGCAACCCCCCTTCCTTCTAGCACTGATGATGTTACCTAGTTGGGTCACGAAATGTCTGCAAGAATACCACCAAAGCTCAGGGAGCACCAAGGATCCTTCAGTCNGGGCCAATCCCCAGGAGACAGGGAGTTCTAATTCCACCTTAAGCATGAAAGCTGGCTGGGTGACTGGGTCAATCACCCGGAGACTGGGAATTCTAGTCCCACCACAGGAATGAAAGTCAGCTACACGACTTTGGGCTTAATCACCTGGAAACGGTGAGTTCTAGTCCCACCTTAGGCATGAAAGCTGCCTGGGGAATTCTGGGAGTTGAAGTCGAGAACTCTGAACATGTTGCGAAAACACGAATTTAAATTTCTTGGGTATAACTGGTTGCTACCATCCTGAATTGTATGTTTAGGCCACGGGTTATATTCTGCCTCCAGCACTCATATGCGCCTAGAAACCACATGTCAAATCGTACTCGGTGCCTACACCCACTGATTCTTATCCTGCACTCTTCTCACAAAGGGGCTTTCCCTGCTTGGAAAAAAAAGAATTATTTTTTTTGTTCAAGTTTGCAAAATGAAATTGGCTGTCCCAAACATACAACGCCTTAGCATTATCTCCTGTTTGCTGTCATGTCTGCGGGATGCGATGTGCCTCTCCCCGTTGAGTAAGAGGGAGTTAGGTCATCCTTAACAAGTCCCGTCTTGTCCCCTGATTCCATTGCTGTCGGGACGGGCAAAGTCTCTGGGTTTGCTTGTTTCTGCCACAGTTAAACAAGTCACTGCTGTTAGGGGAATCATGCAGTCGTTAAGTGAATCTGGCTTCCCCTATTGACCTTCCTGGGAAGGTCCAAAAACGTCTATCAACTGACCAGTGGTGGTATTCAAATTTTTTTTTACTACCGGTTCTGTGGGCATAGCTTGGTGGGCGTGGCAGTGGAAGGATACTGTAAAATCTCCATTCCAAATCTTCATTTCTTCCCCACTCCCGGGGAAGGATACTGCAAAATCTCCATTCCTTCCCCACTCCCATTGAAGGATACTGTAAAATCTCCATTCCTTCCACCCTCCCGGGGAAGGATGCTGCAAAATCTCCATTCCTTCCCCACTCCCGGGGAAGGATGCTGCAAAATCTCCATTCCTTCCCCACTCCCGGGGAAGGATGCTGCAAAATCTCCATTCCTTCCCCACTCCCGGGGAAGGGTACTGCAAAATCTCCATTCCTTCCCCACTCCCATTGAAGGATACTGTAAAATCTCCATTCCTTCCCCACTCCCGGGGAAGGCTACTGTAAAATCTCCATTTCCTCCCAATCAGCTTGGACTCGGGAGGCAGAGAATAGGTGGGGGCGGGGCCAGTCAGAGGTGGGATTTACCGGATCTCCAAACTACTCAAAATTTCCGCTACCGGTTCTACAGAACTGGTCAGAACCTGCTGAATACCACCTCTGCACCTGACCCCCTGGGAGATTGTGACCATTAGTAAACAGATGCTGGTTTTCAAATGCTCAGATTTTGATCACATGATTGTTGAGGTCCTCCTTCAATGGTTAGTGCAACTCTGGTGCTTACCGTTCTCTTTCCAGGCCATAGAAGGAGAAAGGGAAACTCATCGAAATGGTCTCGAAATCTTCCTGAGAGATGCAGCCCCGTTGATCAGGGTCGTAATTCTTGAACACAGACTGTTGGGAAAAGAGAAGGGTAGAAACGCAGAAACCATCAAGACGCAAAAGTCTACAGAGAAA